CACCAACAGGACATTGTTAACGCCAAATTCTCCACCCAATAAATGGAGGCCACCAATTTGGAAAACATCAATAACACCAATAAGTGTGACCAATTTCATTACACACCCAGCAGCAAACATCACAACCATATCCTCGCCCTTGTCCTTATGCTTGAGTAGTAGCAGCATTAACCTCCATTGGAACAGGACCATCACCCATAAGAAGTGGAGCTGAAGGACGTGCAACGAGAAGTGGAAGAGGCGATGTCTCATAACTTTGTATCAAACGAAGAGCATCGTCAAAAGTGGCTGGAGCAAGTGCATGCACAAGTCTGATAAGATCTTGACAAAGTGCTGGCCACAACATTCCTAGCTTAATCTGCTCCGACATATTTGGCTTTGCATGAAGCAAGAGGCTCCAGAAATGAACACCAGATTGCATCACCAGTTCATATGGCCCTTGACGAAGATGATGCAATTGTTGGAAGGCATTATCACAATTATTAGCATGTCTAAATGCACGTTTGAAGATGTCCAGGAGAATACTCTAATCCCCATGAGTGGCTGCATTCAAATCATTGTACTATTGAGCACCATCCCTTAGAGACATATGCGAAACTCACGTAAACATCGAGCATCATCCCAAGAAAAATATGTGGTAATCACCATAAAGTGATCGAACCAATGATACACATCATCCTTAGGATTCTTGTGAAAGAACTTTGGCTGAACGTGAGGATTGGCACCAAGAGCAGGAGGAGTTGTGCTACGTGCTGTGAATGTTGCCATCAATTGAGTTTAGTTGTTCAATTGCAATCATATAACATCAAGCAATTACACCAATTATTGCTCTAGAGTCAAAGAAGGAGAGACTGCTAATTTGCTATGAAAAGGAATGAAAAGGAAAGGAAGATCTAGACAATATAAAAGCTAAAAGGAAAGGGAGATCTAGACAATACAAAAGCTAAATCTAAACCAAAATCCTAAAAGAAAGAACAAAAGAAAGGAAATGGAAAAAGTTAGATTTAAACAATGCAAAAGTTACATTTAAACCAAAATCCCAAATTCAAGCACTCCTCAAGGACAATTAAAGATGCCCTTTATCTCCACCAATGTGAGTGCATGGAATATGGAAAGGGAATATAAAAAATATATATATATTAATTAACCCAAAAACCCTAACTTATATATAGGAGCAAGTGGTCCGAATTGAAATCAATACGATGACTACCAAAATGCCACTACCTCACATTCATTAATTTAGAAAAATCCATAATCTCAAAACAATATTTTATTTTAGAATATTCTTAAGAATAATATTAATTTTAATAATTAATAATATTTTATGGATTTATAGTTTTTAGCTTCACTATCTTAAAAAACCAGTTTTTTTTATGTAGTATCCTTTCGTAAAGATGTTTTATATCTTATAAAATAAGTGGATTTGCAGTATATATGTGATGTACCATACATCACTTCTTTTATATATACAGTTTTGAAGGTTATATTTATAATTTAAGTATAAAATCTTTTGCATCTTTATCCTTAATTAACAATCACATAATCTACTATAATTTATTGTTACAATACAGCTATAAATAATATTGATATTATTTTGGAGACCCCTAAGAAGGATATTAGAAAAGTTTACTATGAAAATATTTTTCTCCATAATTTAAAAACCTTCTTTTAAATGTTACTGTGATTTATGCCAAGTTTTAAACCAATCAAAAGATAATAGTTGAATAATTAATTTGTAACTTAAACATAAATATAAAGAAGAATAATAATAGTTATATTCAAAAGATAATTCTAGTTAGTAAAAAACTAACCAAAATTATTTTCATTCTTTATTTCTTTAAAACATTAAAGATTCATTTTGTTATATTTTGTTTTATTATTGGATAATTTATAATAAAGTGTTTATTAAACGATATTTAAATAATTATTCTTTTATTATGTACCTATAACCTTATTATTATCATCCTTTCAAGTAAAATATAGGTAAATAGTATTATTATATAAACATTTTTAGATAAATTAATTACTTAATTATTTATTTTCATCATTATGTGAGATTATATTATTTGAAGTGGTATGTTTATCACTTAAAAATCTTAAATAAATACAATACTTATAATTATTTAATTAGATATATGCATTTCCATCTTCATCTTAATTATGAGAAATATCTTTTGAATTACTATTTTTTAAATAAATAAATGATAAATTTATATGATTTATTATAAATAAATTATATTCTCCTTCATCATCATTAGATATTTCATTTTTGAAGTGTTATATTTGTCACCTAAAAATTATTATTAATAAAGATACTATATAGTTACTTATAATTATATTTTTTACTTCTCTCGTTATCACTATTATTTTCTTTATTGCTATCAGGGCTTAAATTATATGAAGAGGTGAACTTATAATAATCTTTACCTAAAGAAGTTTATAAACCTCTCATAATAATTATAAAAGTACTTATATTTATCATGTACTCTATTTTGTATTTTGTACTCATATGTTGTAGAGATAATCTCATGATCTGTTAAAATATATTATAACCTAATAATTATAAGATATACTTACTTTTATCATATGCTCTTTTTTTCATTTTTCAAATACATCATTTGCTGCAAAGTTAAGCTCATGATCTGTTAAAATTTATTATAACCTTGTATGATAATTATAAGAAATACTTACTTTTATTATGTGCTCTTCTTTCTTTTTTCTTTTTTCAAATACTTCATTTGCTGCAGAGGTAAGTTCATTATCTATATTTAAAATATTATAACCTCTCAGAATAATTATAAATACTTACCTTTATCATACATTCTTGTCTATAATTTTCAAATACCTCATACTCACAATTTAACACCTCTAAATTTAGGCAGCCTTTTGATTCATCTAACCTTTTAAATGCCATTTGTACTGAAGTAGGTTAAGTTATACATTCTTGAGGTCAGTAGGAAAGTAGGAAGGCATTGATTTGTTAAAAGCAGAAATTAGAGGAAGAGTGAACAACTAAGAACAAAAGCTAAATTTCTTAAGTATCTCAACTATTTTTTGCAAGTCTTCCTATATGACCCAAATGCCTACTTTTTCAATTATATACCAAGCAACTCCTAATTGCAAAGTTCCACCAAACTGCCCTATTCCTTTCCAACAATTTAGAATGCTAAAAAGTTTTTTTGCAAAAATAAGATCCTCATCATCTTCTCAGTTTGTGGGACTTAAGCTGTTGGAAAGCTTGTGTGAATCCATCTATTTCCACAAAAACAGATCCAAATTTTATTTTCCGAAAGTTAAGCACCATATCTGTAAAGACCACCTTATCAAAAAAGCATCCAATCTTGAATTTGTCTTTAACCCCAACCTTTTGAAGGAAGCTAAACATATTTATCTGTGTTCATTTGTAACTCTAATTTTTGCTGTTGACAATTTTTAAGATAATGTTCTAATCATTCTTTCACCTTTGAATCTACCATTCCAAATCTCCTTTTAAATCAGTAGTCTTTGTGATGATACCCTTCAACTGCTTCTCAACATAAAACTTGATTATTTCACTGGTCAAATTCATCCAACCTGAAATTTAAACATTTATTAAGATCTTTTTCCTGTAACTTCATAATAACAGGCTTCCCCATGGAAGTACACAATCTCTCACCTGGAGGCTGGATCCAAGGTTTACACATTTGTGTATGGCTCTCGAATTCAGCAATCTATTATTACACAACAAGTTTGTACATAACAAATTTTTCCATACTACCTAATCCCAGCAGATATGAGACTGCTTGCTGTTACCCACAAGTGCCCAAACACTCTCATCTGCTCATTCGAGGCTCCAATCACTTGAGAGAGCCACCGAAAAGACAAAGTATGCGTAACTCAAGCACAATAAATCCACAGACAAACCTTGAGCTCCTGAGCACTAAATTTTGATCCCAAGAGTGAAGAGACCACACTTTCGTTGCTGGAGCCATACTTGTACAATGCTGAAGCAATTTGACAGGCCTTTAATCATTGCTTGAAGATTCAACTCATCACAGAGAGAGAAGCATTGTAACAAATGTGGTTTTTACCCTTTATCTATAGTGATTTATCACAAATTAACCATAGAATGGAATATGAACCTTTGGTTATGTGTTTAAAGATAGCAAAGTGAAATCCAAACTTCAAGGTTTAAGGACTTTAGAAAGAAGGATAAAACCAAACTCCTAAGCATTTAATTAAGGAGTGAAGGAACTAAAGCACAGAATAACTCTCAAATATACAACCCCAAAAATATACAGATAAAAATTTAAAATGACATGGGAATAGGTTTACATTAATCAACATCCCAACACCAAGACTAACACACAAAATAGAAGTAAATAGAGTATAATGTTATTTCACCATACTAATGCCAATTCTAAATCTCCTTTTAAATCCATAATTAGTAGCTTGATGTATTATCTCCTTATGCTAATCATATGGGCCAAGCATTTTGATTACCATCTATGTTAAAAACTCTGTATAGAAGTGTTAGTCCAGTAATTAATCTATATTTAGGATTAACTTTACTTTGAAGTGCTAGAAAAACTCAAGCTGGAAGTGGTTTTTTCTAAGTCTAACTTGTAAAAGTTTTTATATAAACTTTATCATCTATCTTCATAATCTATATATAGAATTGTGATGAACATAAAAGTGACGTGATCCTCCTTTGAAATCTTCATAATCTATATATATGATTGTGATGAACATAAAAGTGATGATCCTCATTTGAAATCTTCATAATCTATATATAGGATTGTGATGAACATAAAAGTGACATGTCAACTTATGATTGGATGTTCTGCTAGTCTTTGTGGTTATACTGCAATTTCATCTCACTTGTCAAATTCATCCAACCTTAAATGTAGTAGGATTGACAACGCTTATTAAGGTTATACTAATTAGTTGAAACTTTTATTAAGATCTTTTTCCTGTAACTTCGTAATAACAAGCTCGAGGCTGGATCCAAGGTTCACACGTTTGTGTATGCTCGAGTTGAGCAATCTATTATTACACAACAAGCCTGTATATAACAAAGTTTTCCATACTACCTGATCCCAACAGATATGAGACCGCTTGCTGTTGCCCACAGGTGCCCAAACACTCTCATCTGCTCATTCGAAGCTCCAATCACCTGAGAGAGCCACCGAAAAGACAAAGTATGTGTAACTCAAGCACAATAAATACACAGACAAACCTTGAGCTCCCGAGCACTAAATTTTGATCCCAAGAGTGAAGAGACCGCACTTTCGTTGCCGGAGCCATACTCGTACAGTGCTGAAGCAAGCTGACACGTCGAAAACAACGTCCGCAACTTAGAGCACAGAAACGCAAACTAAACCAGCATTGATTACCGAGACTATCATTTGGTGAATCTCCTCTGTAGAACCGATCATATGTGCTCTGGGAATGTGTGAGAATCAGAGTCCGATCACTTTGACAAAAAATTCTCACCGTTTATGCAGAGATGACAGTAACTGTCTGGCCTCTGCAATGAAAGAGCTTCGAGCCAGTGACCAAAGGACCAGGAGATCAAGTAGCCACTCCTTGTGCCATGTTGACTAAACACAGAAAGTATAAGTTTGAAGATGACCGCCAGCCAACGTACCTCGTCCACAAAGAGCTTCGCGATGTGACTCACTCGTTCGCCGACGTACTCTCCAAATCCTTTCACTTGAAGAGACAGCAAAAGTCCCAACGCGTTCAGGCCCACCTGTACAGTATTGTTTACTTTGTGTTGGATTTTTCTTCCAGAGTTGTAAAGAGAGCTTACCGCAAATGTATCCTTTTCAGCTCTTTCGCGGTCTCCCCATATACGTGTGTCAAATATCCGTAGCGCGTTCCCAGCTGCATTCCCATTATCATCACCCTCTAGATGACAAAGCGCTAAATGCCACCAGTTATGACTATACCTGCAAAAGAAAGAAACAGAAACCAGGAGTAAGTTCGTAATCACAGCACTAAGTTCACAACGGTGGCGAACATTACAGGAATGAGCCGCATCTCTCCCAAGATTCCGAGTTGCTCTCCATGAACATAATGGCGTCCTTGTATTGCTGGCGCTCCTGAAAGACGTGGCACAACTGCAGCAAAAGTTTGTGTGTTAACGACAAGAATGCAAAACAGATGGTAGCCGTGCCTTCACGGCATAGAGCGCACCGCATGCTGGGCCCAAACGTCGTGCTTCTCGATGGACAGAGCTCTCCTTGCAGCAACTTCCGCTTCGTCAGTTCTATCGTTCTCGACCAGCGAAAACGCCAGCATTCCATACATGTACGCCCGATCCCTGTTTACGTGCAAGACCTGCATCGAGAGCGATCCTAAAAAGAACGAAGACATGCGTTTAGACAAAAGGCGGTGAACTTACCTGAGAGGCAAATTTGAGCATCAAGTGAGACTTTCCCCTCGAGAAAGCCATACCTTGTGCACGTTTGAGTGATGCTAAATCCTTGGGGAAATTTTCTAGCACCTGTAACAGTGAAAGAAAGAGCTTTAGCGATTCACGAGAAGAAAAAGTAAAGGTTTTGACCTTTGATTGGGAGGAAAGGGCCTTGTCATAAGAACCTTCAGCGATTGCGTCTAGAGCTTCCATCACTGAACGCTCATACTGTGTGGCTCTGTCCTGGAATGAAAGACTTTAGAGGAAAAGAGGAAGAGGAAGTGTTACACTGACAGCATTTCTTTTGGAGCGCTCGGAATATCGCAGAGCATCAGAGGGATCGGCAAGCCCCGCAGCCAGAGCATTTGCCAAGGCGCAATCCTCGTCGTCGTCAGCAGCCTGGAGGATCACCTTGCAATTCCATCCATAGCTCAGCACCTAGAGCAATCAAAAACAAGAAGAAAATCGATGGCAGAGACTCGATTCCGCCAAACCTGCTGGTAGTAGCTGTTGAGATTGCTGATACACTGGTCGGAGCTAGTGCGCACCGGATAGCCCCACTGATCTTCGCGGACATCGCTCGATCGTTCTTGCTGCATCGCTTCCAAAATACTTCGCTCGCGCCTAAACCCTAAAGGAAGAAAAGAGAGATAGATCTCGGGTTCGAATCACGAGCATATATTTCCTCTCCTTTTGTTCTCAGCCGTACACGTGGCAGAGCTCCATTTTGGGGCTTACGCTGATTCGCGATGGGCGGACGATGGCGCTGGAGTTCCTGGAGCTGATATCGGCTTCCTCGCGGTAAGCATTCCATTCCCCCGGCCGAGAGCTCGTCCAAGAGATTCGAAGTAGGGCGTGAGTTTGATTCGTCCTAGGTCTTGGATCCCGCCATAAGATTTGAGTGTTTCTCTTGTGTAATCGGTGCTGCATTCGTGCCTCGCTACGCATCTTTATTCCAGATTTGCTAGAGATTTCCGAGAGAGCTGTGAGAGTTTCCTTTAAAGGGATGGTTTTACTTACTCCTTGCCTTCTTCCCTTTCAGGGCCTAGGGAGAGAATTATTTTATTCCACAACTTACTCGCTATAGCTATGGCGAGGCAGACTTCTTTGTTGTTTCGATTGCTCAAGCACCAGCGACGGAAGTTGGGAGTTTTTCAAGCTGCCGACAATGATGCCATGGTCGACGCAGCTTGTCGCAACTTTAGACTTCGCCAGGTCCATCAGACCGCTGCTGCTGTGGCTCGAGGCTTGCGAGTCGAGATGCCGAAGCCGGAAGATACCATTGAAGTCTCCGTGGACGGTTTGTCAATCCAGGTCCAGAAAGGTATGACTGTTCTTCAAGCTTGCGAGGCGGCTGGGATCGAGATTCCCAGGTTTTGTTATCACCCCCGCCTTTCCATCGCTGGGAACTGTCGGATGTGTCTCGTGGAAGTGGAGAAAACTCCGAAGCCAGTTGCGTCGTGCGCCATGCCAGCTCTACCAGGTACCTTTTTTGTTTTCAGAAAAAGGATCTACTCTAACTCTTACATGTTTGAAGGGATGAAAATCAAGACTACGACACAAATGGTGAAGAAAGCACGGGAGGGGGTTATGGAGTTTCTACTCCTCAATCACCCGCTCGACTGCCCCATTTGCGATCAAGGAGGGGAGTGTGACCTGCAGGATCAATCCATGGTTTTTGGTTCCGATCGTGGTCGTTTCACCGACATGAAGCGCTCCGTGGTGGATAAAAACTTGGGACCTCTAGTCAAAACGGTGATGACCCGCTGCATTCACTGCACAAGGTAACCATCTCCTTTCATCTATGAAGCGGTTTCGAAAACTGGTATTGGTGCAACAGGTGCGTCAGGTTCTCAAACGAAGTTGCTGGCGTTCCCGACCTTGGAGTTCTTGGTCGCGGTGGAAGTGAGGAGATTGGAACGTACGTGGAGCGGTTGATGACAAGCGAGCTCTCAGGGAATGTCATTGACGTGTGCCCCGTTGGAGCACTTACGTCAAGACCATTTGCCTTTACTGCAAGGAACTGGGAGCTCAAAGGGACCGAGACAATCGACGTGAGCGACGCGATAGGCTGCAATATCCGAATTGAGAGCCGTGGTGCTGAAGTTATGCGTATAGTTCCTCGTCTTAATGAGGTAAACCCCAGCAAAAGCTATGCTTTTTTGTTGAACGTGCTACTTTGACAGGATGTGAATGAGGAATGGATATCGGACAAGGCTCGGTTTTGTTACGATGGTTTAAAACGCCAGCGTCTCAACGAGCCAATGCTGCGTGGTGAAAATGGGAACTTGGAACCCGTTCTGTGGCAGCTTGCTTTCAGGGCCGCTGCCGAGGCATTGAAGCACACCAAGCCGGAGGAGATGGCAGCTATTGCTGGAAAGCTGGCGGATGCCGAGTCGATGCTTGCTATGAAGGATTTTTTCAACAAACTGGGATGCGAGAACCTGTGGTGCGAGGGTGACAGCGTGAATACGCAAGCTGATTTGAGGTCGCGGTATCTTCTTAACAGCACTATTGCTGGAGTGGAGAATGCGGACGTTATTCTCCTTGTTGGAACACAGGTAAGGCTTCGTTTTGCTTTGATTTGCTCTCCAGTTTTTGAAGTTCTGAAGAACTTTTTTGTGTTTCTACTCAGGTGCGAACCGAGGCACCATTACTGAACTTGCGAATCAGAAAGGCTGTGAGAAACTTACGAGCCAAAGTTGGCGTCATAGGCCCGCCTACCGATCTAGCATACGAGCACGAGAACCTTGGAACTGGACCGGAGACACTCCTCCAGATTGCCGAGGGCCGCCACCGCTTCTGCACGGCTCTAGCAGGAGCTCAGAGGCCGGCAATCATAGTCGGCGCAGGGATTTTCGAGCGTCCGGACCGAGATGGTATCATGGCCGCGGTGGAAACAATAGCAGCCAATGGAAACATCGTCAAGGAAGGGTGGAATGGCTTCAACGTACTCCTTCTCAGCGCCAGCCACGCAGCAGCACTCGACTTGGGACTGGTACCGAAGTCCAAAGGCAGCCTCAAGGGGATCAAGTTCTTGTATCTCCTCGACGCGGACGAAGTCGACATGGCAGAGATCCCGAAGGATTGTTTCGTGGTTTATCAGGGGCACCATGGTGATCGCAGCGTCTACCGAGCCGACGTTGTACTCCCTGGCTGCGCTTACAGCGAGAAGGAATCGACTTACGTCAACACGGAAGGGAGAACTCAGCAGACGATTCCAGCGGTTCCAACAGTCGGGGAATCTCGCGACGACTGGAAGATCATCAGAGCTCTATCCGAGGTAGCCGGCTCCGCGCTACCTTACGATACCATCAGCAGCTTGCGAGCTCGGATGTTGGCAGTGTCGCCAAATCTCTTCCGAGTGGACGAGCTCCAGGCGCCGGTGATGTGGCCGCGAGACATTCTTCCCGAAACCAAGACGGAAATCCAGCTCAAGCCGTTTGCCAGGTCCATTGACAACTTCTACATGACGGACTCCATCTCCAGAGCTTCCAAAGTTATGGCGCAGTGTACCACCGCCTTGTCCAAGCAAAGCAGCAAGGACAAGGAGAAGGTCCTCACGGCTTGATGGTAAGAAAATAATCTTTTGTACTCCTAAAAGGGACATTGACAATAAAGAGAGAGGTAAATAAGCTATTTGAATTTATTTGATATTGTCAAGGGATGGCTAGGAAAGTTCTGAATGAACTGTGAGTAATCTATCTTTTTACTTTTTTATTTATATTTTTACAGAATTTATTATGATTGTAAATGGAGGAACAAAAAGATCCTAAACTGTATTTATAACATATAATTGATTTATAAATGTATCTAGTGCTATTCATATTTAGTATTATTTATTAATCTAATTGAATAATGTGTGATTCAATTAATAATTCTAAAAGCTTTTGCTAGAAAATAAGTTGATATGAAGCCAGATAAGTATTCATTTAGACATAAAGATAAATAATATTTTTCGATAATCATATGAAATTTGGTGAGAGTTCTAAATTTATACTTCACAATGAACTATTTGAATAATTCTATGTCAAAACAATGAAAATATTAATAAAATATTAAACTAATAGAAAATAAAAAATGATTTTATGGTATGGAATATCAATTACGTTGCATGGAACTTTGAAATTTGACTAAAATTATAAAATTTAGACCATGTGCCATCAAACTTTATTGGCATATCAAATGTTGGTTTTAAATCAATTGGTATTGATAATTTGGCAGAGCTGCAAAATAAGTATAATATTGGATTGCACCTAATGCTTAGTATAACTTCTAGAAAACATTTTGATTTAACTAAAGCAAATTTGAGAAAATCATTGATTTCAAAATGTTTAAACTGTTAAAAAATTGCCATTGAGAGAAAGGGAGATGATTAAACTATTAATAAGATATTAAAAATGGAAAAGAAAAGATAAACTTATGTTAAACACTCTAATACAAAGTTATCAAAACTTTATTTTTACAAAGGCTCTGATCCAACCTCTAGCTAATATAGAAACTTAATTTTAGTATAAATTCGTGATAATTCCATATATGTGTATAATAGAAAAAATAAAGGGTCTAGCCCCTAATCTAGAAACTTAATTTTATTATAAATTCATGATAATCCCATATATGTATATAGTAGGTCTTGAGTTTAAATTTCGATTTATGTCATTGCCAATAGTGATGAATATACTTTCTTAGTAAATATAAAGATATCATAATATATTTATAAACTATAAATATAATATTGTGAGTGCATGGAATATGGAAAGGGAATACAGAAATGTGCATATCAATTAACCCAAAAACCCTAGCTTATATACAGGAGCGAGTGGTCCGGATTGAAACCAATCCGACGGCTACCAAAATCCACTACGCTAATATTAGTATACGGCATCGTAGCCGTACACTTGGCCCTCACATCATCCCCTCCTCTCGGAATAATGGAAGGCCGTCAGGGTTCTCTTGTAGATGGGCCGGGATCTGGAGGAACGTCAGGAGGAGGCATCGGTGGATCTGTAGACGGTATTAACTGCTCCTGATCCCTCTGTATGAAGCGTTTTAACCGATGCACATGCACAATCTCCGGAGGATCAGCCTGCTGAACGTCATGCCGAACCTCATAAACTTGTGGTCCAACTTGCCGCAACACCCGATACGGTCCTTTCCACTGCGCAAGGAGCCCCTTAGATAAACCACGTACCGTAAGATGGGGAAAACGGACTAACACCAAATCATCCACTTTGTACTCCGCTGGTGGACGATGATGGGAATTGTAGCGCCGTTGTTGTCCCACTTATACGCGGCCTAAGTGTTCAGCAGACTCTGCGCGGACAAGTGGAAGAATGCTTGTCAAATATTGATCCCATGACCTAGCATCAGGAGCTCGTGGCAATCGCGAAGGTAAACCTAGCTCTGTTGGTAATATTGGATCATGACCATATAGAAGTTTATATGGTGAAGCACCAACAGAACTCTGCACCCCTGTGACATAAGCATACCGAAGAGACGGCAAATAACCATCCCAATCTGAATGTTGAAAGTTCACATACTTCGCAATCATCCCTTTGAATGTTCGAACGAGCCGTTCCACCAGACCGTCTGATTGTGGATGATAAGCACTCGTAAAAGTGTGGC